GGATAAGGAACAAACCAGCCTATTCCTAAAATAGACCAAGCAGCAGCACAAATGCCCATGTAGTCACACCAAATGACTACATAAAAACTATGCAACTTCAATGCTGACAAATTATGATAAAATTGGAATGGATAGATATTTTTTTATAACTTGATTCAGTGAATCAAAATGAAGACTATGTTTTGGATGTAAAAAACCTCAAGAGTGCAACAGTGAAGAGACTAGAAAAGATGAGTTGCTGGAGACCAAGGCGAAAGTCATTAATATTATGGAACTCCTGAGTACCACACACAGATGTGTAAGTTGAAAAATGAAGAAAACTGGCGGTTCATTTGAAACATGGTGTTACACTAGAGTGGCTTTGAAGATAACATAATAGTAATCATAATGTGCCAATTCTGACTTATAGTGGCTCTTTTCAGGGTTTTTCAAGATAGAGAATGTGGCCACAGAAGTGGTCTACTATTCTCTTCTTTTGAAGGGGTATCTTGGGACTGGGCAGCTTGCCAAGACCACACAGGCTGGCTCTGCTTGCAGGAGTCACAATGGGAAATCGCACTCTTAACCTCTGGATCTGCAGTCAGATACCTAAACCGCTCAGCTATCCAGCCAGCTCAAGAAAGATGAAGTAAATTCTAGATCAAATGTGCCCTGAATTTAGAAGCTAAAATGACTAAACAATGGTGACTGTAGTTGGACCTATGATAAGAAAATAAGACTTACTGGAAAAAATACTACAATGCTAGAATAAGTGAAAAGCAGTAGGAAAAGAGGAAGACTTAACATGGGATGGATCGACTCAGTAAAGGAAATGGCATTCTTTAGTTTACAAGACCAGTACAGGGCTATTAATGACAGAGCCTTTGGGAGGTCATTAACTGATAGAATCACCAAAAGTCAGAAGTGACTTCAAGAGAAATAAAATTATAGATCACCTGTGTTCTTCTCTTATAGTTCTGTCCTCTCTGTTGTAATCTTCTCTTGCAAAACTGTCTCCTGTCCCTTCATGTAATGATTTTATTATGATGCCCCTTTTTACAAAAGCAGATAACCACTGAACAATTTCTATTACCACAGCTGTGATGTGCTGTGTCTCAGGTTCGACATGAGTACATTAAAGTCTGCAATGCCTCTCTGTGTGTTTACTTTATAATGGGATTTTCTCTCCTTCTGTGACATTTCTGTGACAAACACACTAAGGTACTCAAGTATTTTAAGCAAAAAATCAAAATGGGAGGCTTGAAAATTATTGTTAAAATTAAGTGAAATGATTAACTGCATCCAGAGTTCACAAGAGCAGCTGTGGGTGTTATAACACTTGTTGAGAAGAGGCTAGTGTTTTCCCCTGTACTAACACTAGATCTCAATGTACCACATACTACACATTGCATGCCCCTTCCCTTCCTCTTCCCCTTCTCCAACAAAGATACACTTATCATGGTGGAGTATTTCTTAAAGTTCTTAGATCAAAACCCAGAAAATACCCATTTGCTTGGATAGATTGGGGCTACATGATTTTAGAGACATTTGGCTTGCTGTGAAGTGCCATCAAATTAACATATCATAATCCTTTGTCTTCAACAAAGAATTTTACCAGCTGTTTTTTTAAATCCCTGCTGCTTACCCACCCTTCTTTATATCATACCACAGGGAAAATGTGAAATCCTAATTGAGTGAATAAGATCAAGAGAGGGATAGATGGGAGCCATTCAGCCATTCCTTGCCCACTTTGTAGCAGAACACTTACAGAAGAATGTCTCTTATAGAGTGGACAACATGCAGGCCACCAGACACATGCAGCCCTCCAGGGGCTCTGAGGCCTCAAGCATCCTCCCACATTTCCATAATGTGGAAAAAAATGGCTCAGAAGTTCTATTTGGCCATAGCCTTTCTCATTCCATCAGCCTCACTCTCTGCATGGAGAGTGATGTGGCTAAACAGGAGAAGAGCTCTGCTTAAGCTTTGGCTTTCCACAAGAAGAAGAATCCCGATTTTCCTGGGTTTGGATGCAAGTGTGATTCCTGAATGTGGGCAGGGGCTTTCTTTTCTTCAGATGCATCATCCATCATGTGGAGAAAGTGACAATAAAGAGGGGAAGGTTAGATATTTTGTAAGCATGTCATCAAGAAATGGGTAAGTGATGGAATAGGATTTTACTGTCTTAGGGCTACGAGGTTAATGCGGCAGATAATTCAGTAGGTAGAAACACTTTCCTGTTACCCAGGACTGCAGGTTCAAGGATATACAGTATGCCTTTTAAAAATGGACAAAGGCTATTGCTTTCTGGGAAACAACAACAAAAATGAATTAGAAAGGTGCTTGACCTGATTCAAAATTCCCAGGATATTCCCACCCCAGCACCTCTAATTGTCCTATTGAAGGTAAACATTTACACTGCAAAGTTTCCTTGTTTGTTTAACTTTACCACTGCTTGGGTTATGAAGAGTTAATGCACTCTGTCCTGAGAAAATTATAAACACCTTCGCTAGCAGCTTATTTATGTATTCCACTACCAGGGCATCACAACATATCCTATTTTCACTCCTGTTTCTCTCTCTCCAGAAAGTGATCTCTGTGCTTAAGTGAGCTGCATAAACTCTATCCTGCTAAATGCCTGGTAGTTGCAATCACTTCACATCACTGTTTTGCTAAGTGATTTCTATGTGCATCGTATGTGTTTTTCTTATTGGGGAATGCTCCTTCCTATATCTTGATGTGACAGAGAAATACAACCATATATCTGGCTAAATAGAAATCAATGCTTTTAAGCCCTTGGAAGAAACGCCTAAATGACTGAGGGCATTACCAACTTTAATTGTAGCTGTGGTATGTGATGGCCTGCTATTTCACAGTTCCCAGAGAGAGATTTTCTTTCTGTTTACTCTAAACGTGACAAAATCCTGCTAGACTCTCTAGTATGTTTCCCACCTCCTGAATATTTGACAGTTTATAGCTGCTTAGTTGCTTATTTGCATTCAAGAGATGCTGTTGCACCACTGAGGCAAAACCAGAATATTAATTGGGAAAATAGATTTGTTGCCTATACATGTCTGCTTTAAGCTCGTGGGGGAAAGAAAAATAAATATGGGTCAATGTCTTTGGTGGAAAGGATGTAATGATGTAACATAAAATGCAAAATATAGTATTACGAATGGTCACTCATAATTTGATTCCTGACGGTTTCCTACACATGGAATTAAAGGAAAGGGGGAAGCATAAAAAGTATATTTTTCAATTTATTTAAAGGAAATATACTTTGGATTAGCAGGGGAAAAATAAATATATTCTGTAATGTGCTGTGTATATAAATAAGCACATCTCTGAACTTGACTTGAGCAAGCAACTAAAAAACGTCTTGCCAAACTGCCATCACATGTGAGTTTTTAAAAACTTCTTCCAAGTTGTAATTTCTTCATGTGGCACACTATTACACAGCAGTTTGTATGGACAGTGTTATTCATTCATTCATTCATTCATTCATTCATTCATTCATTCATTCATTCATTCATTCATTCATTCATTTTCCCATCATTTTATCTCATTTACATCCCCCTTGCTCTTAATTTAAGGACTCAAAGCAGCTTACAAAATGGTGGGAGCGGAGAGGAGAGTCATAAACCAAACTCTTCAAAATGCAGCTGAATATGCAATAATATTAAAGGAACATTAAACAGAAAATGATATAAAAGAAAAAGACAAAAAAGACATAAATATAAACACAAACATATTTTTTAAAAAAAAATTAAAGAGAAAATATGCTTGAAGGAAAGGTCTTTGGCTACCAACATAAATAACAGCAAGGAAGTGCCAAAGTTAACCCCTGTGGAAGGGAGTGCCATAGCATGGGAATGGTCACTTGAAAGGATCTCTCTAAAATCCTCATGAAACATACCTCCGGGGGTGGGTGGTATGAGCAAGAAAAGAGTCTCCTCTGAAGATCTTGAAACTGGGGGGCCTCCTATGGGAGGTACATTCCTTTGAATAGCCCCAACTTGACCCATATAGAGCTTTGTAGGTCCTAAAACTAGAACTTCACATTGAATCTGGAAATGAATTGGTAAGTTGTATCCTGGGAATTATATCATCCCTGTAACTAGTCCCAGTCAGCAGGCTGGCTGCAGCGTTTAGGACATGCTACAGATTTTGACATGGTGGTGCTGTGGGTTAAACTGCAGAAGCCTCTGTGCTGCAAGGTCAGAAGACCAGCAGTCATAAGATCAAATCCATGCAACTGAGTGAGCTCCCATCGCTTGTCCCTGCTCCTGCCAACCTAGCAGTTCGAAAGCATGTAAAAATGCAAATAGATAAATAGGTACCACTTTGGTGGGAAGGTAACAGTGTTCCGTGTCCAGTCGCGCTGGCCACATGACCACGGAAACTGTCTTCAGCAAACGCTGGCTCTATAACTTGGAAACAGGGATGAAAACCGCCCCCTACAGTCGGACAAGACTGGACTAAATGTCAAAGGGAACCTTTACATTTGCCTACAGATTTTGAATATTCTTGAAAGGGAGACCCACATGCAGAATTTTAACAATAATTATCCATTCAAATGGGATGCAACTAAGACATGTGTTGTTGTAGCTATTAGATTAGATCAAACATCTCAAGGAACATATGTCACATCTTTATGTGGCAAGCAAGGAGCACCTTGGAAGAGTATGGCCACACTTTAGAAGCAAACTATACATTGGTGACCAACAAAATATGGACTCTATTCCTTTCATGGTGAGGCAGCCAGGTTGATGGAGCTGGGGAATTTGTGGGTAACAGAGAAAGAAGAAAGACATTATCAAGACTCATGAATGCTAAGGAGATGAAATTTCATGTATCTCCGTATCCCTCCCACACCACATAGAGATTCTTTGGTCTAGCATCCTTGTTTGCACTAATTGGCATGAATGTGGAAATTATTTCAAACCTTTGCTTAGGCAGCCTAGTAACCTACTTTCACATCTTCCTTTTTCTATCACTTACATGCTTTCCCCATTCCTTTCCAGGATTCTTCAAAGTCATAACAGTTCAACCAATGATTAGCCTATGTTTACTGCTCTGAAGTCAACTTAAATGGAGCTTACTACTAGGAGAAGTCTGGCTCTGAGGAGAGAGAAGTTACACAGAATGTAAGTGCTTTGTATGAAATTCTCCCATTGTGTGAAACCTCAGTGATACATATGATGAACATTTCTTGATGTTTATTGATATAGTGAAGAACTGGTTTCATCGTGGATTTAACAACTGTGGGTCAATGGGAAACGCACATGGAAGCAGTAGGAGCTGAGGAGCAGAAGGGGGAAAGTCTTTAATTTCCAAAAATCACACCTACTGGTGATGTCATCACCCTTCTACTGGTGTAGGTCCACAACAGGATTTCAGTCATAGGGTACTCAGAAGTAGTTTATCATTCCCTTATTCTAGGATGCTCTGGGACTGTGCACCTTGCCAAGCCCATTCAGGCTGGTCTTCTACAACACTGGTCCCCAACCTTTTCCCAACCTCGGACTGCTTGGGGGGGTGTAGCACACTTGCAAGAGGTGGGGCATGCTTGTGCACATGCTCATGGTGCACTCACAGGAGGTGCTTGTGTGCATGTGTGCAGCATGCTCGCAGGGGCGGAGCACACTCACGTGCATGCACATGCACACAGTATGCTCACATTGGGTGGAGCACACACATCTGTGTGGCACGCTCATGGGGGGATGGTTGTGGGGGGCAGGAGATCTGTGTCCGTAGCTCGGTCCTGCCTAGGCTGCGGACCGGGGGTTGGGGACCTCTGTTCTACAAGATACAATGAAGAATAAAATTCTGGTGCTCCAGTTTGGTGAGCTATCCAGCTTTAGAACATGCAGTACATGCATGCATGCATATACTAGAAACAAAATGACTTGAAAAATCACTAGACAATACCCTTCTTCACAGAATATGGTTATATATATATATATTCAGTTCATTTGTCCCTCTATCCTTATGACTTGGAGCAATTTTGCAAAGTTGCAGGTGATGCCAGGGTTTGGACTGGATTCTCCGGCATGCATGATGTGTTCTCTGTCACTCAACTACAGTCACTCCCCATCACAGAGTTTAGAGAGCCCTGGTCATATAACTATCTATTTATATGAGAAGGCTTATCCTGATAATGGGGGAAGGGTTCACAAGGAGCTTGTCTGAAGATAAAACCCTATGTCTCCCCTGAGCACAGTTTTTCTTTCACGTGTGGCAATCATATGTTTGAGGAAAAATCAGGAGCAATATTCCTATTGATTTAAATGAAGTTGAATGAATGATACCCAATAGATTTTGGTAAGTGTTACAAAAAGCAACATCTTAGCACAATAGTTAATTTAAATTGCTAGTAGCATCTATAAGCCTCCCATTCTCACTTAATAATTTACAAACTGTGATCTGTACTAACTCCATCTGTCCAATTTCATTTATATCTGATTTTTGATTGCCACTTACTTCCTTATTCAGTCTCTCATCTTTCCACTTGAAAGTACTGCTGTCTACATTGTGTTTATTAGTTTAGCTATGTCTTCCAGGAGCAAAAAGCTGGTATTTACATGCAAACAATCTACACTTTCCCCATACATCAATTGTATCTAAAAGAGTTTGACAATCATAGATATTTCTATTCATCATATTATTTAGAAGAAACAAAAATGTCAACAAAAGAATTGGAAAAGTACTGGGCTGGCCAACTTCCCATCATATGTTGGTATTGAAAAGAGTCCCACATTGCCTTGAAAAAAACTAAAGCTGAAAATAATGGACTGAAATAGTATGTGATACCATTGGTATGCTCTTGTTCTATAAGATAAGATTTCTCTCCTTTTGCCACATAGGATGACTTATTGGGATAACCCTCTATCACATTCCTGCTATACCAGCATCACCGGTAGGGTTGATTTTTGGTAATTAAAGATTTCCTCCTTCTGCTTCTCAGCTCCCACACTTCATCAGTTCAAAAGATTCAGGCTAGCTGGGCAGTCGTCCAGTAAGCTATTACAGTAAGAGAAAAGTTATTGCAGCATTGGCTAAGTTTCAAGGGAGCAATTTTATTTTTGGTGTTGCTATCCCACCTTTTCCTCATAAGGGCCCTGATAAGGGCCATATAAGGATTGAAATGCTGTCTTTGCAAGTCAAGCTGACATGACAAGAGGACCTAGTATGGTCAGCAGGCCACTGTGCCTCCAGCTCTGAGTGTCTAGTGATGCACTTTGCATCTCTGGTTCTCAGGTCGCCTGGATAGTCATGGTAGGCCTGGAGCTAGTGGAGGACACCTGTCAGAGAATAGGCATCCCTCCTAACCTATATCCTTTTACAGAGAGATATCTTTCCAGGTAGAGTAATGCTGGAGACAGCAAGTGGATTCTCCTTTTCCTCAAAGGAGCCAGGCAGTTCAGGGGTGGTCTTGAAGAAGGTGGTAGTACAGAGCATCATCCTGCCACTTATACCATAACCAGGTCATCTTACTGTCCAGAAATTCTGTGTTTCTCTAAACATTTACAGTATTTGTCATTTGTCATTGTGGCTTGTTTGAGAGGGAGCATTCACTCCTCTTTCCCCTGCAATTTATTTATTCATTACATTTATGGAAAAAACAATAAATTTCAAGCATAAGCCTAGGAGTATGCAGTTACCCTGTAATGGACATATAAACAGCTATGCTGGGGCTCAGCTTCCTTCTTTTACCATTTATTATTGATAAATTGGTGTCCTTGTCTAAAACCAGGTAATTCTAATATCAGGAAGAGATACTGTAAAACAGAGAAAAAGAGAGAAAACAATCATAGGGTCTTCTCAGGGATGGATGACTCTATCAGTTTTGCTTTCTCCCACATTCCATATATTTGAAAAAGCACAGCATAAAGGCTCACACCAATCTCATAACCCTCTGAGATTTTGATGTGGGGGTATTCACCATATGGACCACAGCCATGTTGCCACCAAAATGTGACAGCAGAATTGGCCCAGATCTCCACCCATAGCCATAGGGCTCCCAATACTGGGGGAAAATTCAAGAACGTAAGGTCCCAGGTGGCTTCAGAGTTACACCACTCCATTGGCCATAGACTGGCACACCATCGACCTCTAAAATAAATGCCATATCCAGATGACCTGGCAATATCAGAGTGGACTTGAAATTCAGCTCCCAAGCATATCTCATCCCTCCAGAATAAAATTCCATTAAATCCATCTAAGAACTGTAATCAGATAGATAGGTCATTCTTATCCCCGTTGAAAGTCTCTGTCTATGGTGTGGTTTTGTTAGACCACTCATGGCTTTGCATAGCCTCCTAAGAATGGCCCTGCCTGGAGCAATTACTTTGCATGCAAAGTTGAGGTGACCCACTACCTCCTGCAGCTCCTTCAATGTAACTTTGGCACATTGTAGCAGGTTCCAAATTCGAATCCGTCGGTCCTCCAACTTACTATCTGGCAATCTGCTTGATTGTTAAAGGGTGCCCAATTCAATCCCCAAGAAGGTAATTACTGTACAGTGGATCTCTGTTTTCTCCCCTGATAAAAGTACATCAAGTTCCTTTGTCACTAGCTGAAAAGTCAGCATGAGGTGCTCACATTTGGCAGACCCCGGCTTCCACAAAATTAAAAAATAGACCACATGAGAAAGCCCTGCCCTGCGCTTAAAGGTCCACTCCAAAAATGAGCTGAAACGCTCAAATGCAACACAAGATATTGAGCTCCTCATTAGCATTGCCCTAGGCATATAATATAACCCCTCGTATTGAAAACCTAGTAACTAAAAATCCTCTGGGTGAACCAGCAATAAAAGAAAAGCCGACTTAATGTCAGATTTTCCAAGTTCTGCCCCAGTGCCACAGGATCTAACCATCCTTATTGCAGCATCAAATTATACGGTATATAACGTACTGTGCATAGCTCCTGAAGGATCTTATCATTCACTGATTCCCCAGCAGGGTAGGAAAAATGATGAATGAGGTGAAACTGACCCAGAACCTTTTGGGGGACTACCCCTACAGGGGAAACTTGCAAACTTGGTACAGATGGGTCAGTGAAAGGTCCTGCCACTCACCTCTCTGACACTCCTTTCTAATCTTCTCTCCAACAACATCTTCCATACCCCTTACTGATTTCAATTTGCTTGCCATAAACAGGGATCCTAAAACTAAACTTGAACCCACCTAGAAAATATTGAGCTGTCTCCCTACCGGGATATGAAAACAATCATTCTGTTACTATCACCCATTTAATTGGGCTGGGGCCTTTTTGCAGTGGCAGATGGACCTGCTGCCTGCTGCTTGGGACTACCACTGTCCTTGTTGCCGCCTGGTCCTGGGCATCCTTTAAAGCATGCAGCTGAACCATGTGGGCCTCCACATAAGAAGCACTGATGCCAGAATCTGCATGGCTTCCAACTGCAAGGCCCCTTGGCATTAAATTCCCAGCAAACCAGGCAGGGTTTAACCACCTGGCCTGCCAGCGTGGGGGGAGTATTGTAATTGTTGGATCTCTGAATCAGATGTCCACTTTCAAACCAGTCACCCAGGTTGGGGCGAGAAGGGGTCATTAACTGCAACCACAAACTGTTGTGATGCATGTTCCGTCCCAGTGCATCTCGGGGTGTATCGCCACTCTCATACAGAACCTCTCATCATAAAGCAGCCACGCATGCCCTGGGAAATCAATCAATCAATCAATCAATCAATCAATCAATCAATCAATCAATCAATCAATCAATCAATCAATCAAAACCTTTATTGGCATATACAAAACACCTAGTCAAAAACTACGTTCAGTAAAACTTGTTTGCAACTTTCTGAAGCAATATCAAAGTTTGTTCAGATTCAATGTAGTTTTACTATTTATTCCACAAGACATACTCTGCAACCCATCCTAAAGTCTATGTATTGTATTAAGGCAAAAGCCCGTTAAGAGTATGCTTTCACTATGGTCCCAGTGTGTATCAAAAAACCTGGTAGCCAATTTACCCAGCATCTACTCCCACCAAGGTCTACCTGGATCACCCGCGCGAGCCAGGAGGTGAGGCTGAGGAGCCTGATGCCGAGAGAGGCCCGGATGGAGAAGACACGAAACTGGGCCTTCTCAGCGGTGGCTCCTCGCCTTTGGAACAATCTCCCTC